TAAATTTATATATATATATATTTTTTACTATATGAATAACTATACTTGCTGAGCATATTACCAAATACAGGTGAAATGGCTCAGATAAAATTATGTCAGACTCCTTAATGTCAGTGACAAAATGTCAGCTTCTTTAGAAATTCTTCGGAAACCTGTCCAACAAACAATAAAGAATAGCTGTACTCTGTATAGTCAGTAAGAAGGTCAACTTCTAATTAACTGCTTGCTTTATTTTGTAAAAAATATTGTGGAAATAACTGGCATTTGAGAAAGTTGAAGAGACATGTTACCTTGCCATTTCTGTTAAAGTTTGTCGTTTAAATTGAGATGGCCAGAAAAGAATAACAAAAAAACAAAAAAAAACACCTCACTGTCGTTCAATGAAATCCTACTCCTTGGGTTTCTGAAGCAGCATCTCTATGGAAGTAGATTGCCCAGCCTTCCTTCTGAGGAGTGCCTGGGAGCTTTGAACCGCTAGCCTTCTGTTTAGCAGTCATATGCCTTAGGCACTATGCAAGAATAGAGTATCTTGTTTCACCCTTGACTGAAATAACTTCAACAATAATAATTGTTATTCCTTTAGTTTTTATTACAAGTTTGTATTAAAAACAGATACTTGAAGTTGGTTCTCTTTCTCACACACAGTGCAGTAAATGACAATTATGTTATTTATATAAAAATCACATTATAAAAATTCTGTTTAAGAAGTATAATGCCTGATGGAATGTGGTATTCTTTAACATATGAACTTCTATGCAGTACAAAAAAAAGAAAAAGCATATACCACGTTGTCTCCTTTTGCCTGACTTTTAAGAAACTCTGCTTAAAAGCAATCATTTATGTCCTTGACTCATTTGTACCCTCTCCTGACATTTTCTTAAACTCTTCTGTATCTTAGGGTTTGGTTTATACTTACTGTATTTTTATCCAAAAAATGCATCTGTTATACATTTTTCCCAAATGCACCCTCCCCCATTGAGGTATTTTTGTAAGTGTACTATGCTCTATTTTTGTACAGTAACAGAAAAAAAATTGGCCTAGTGAGTTTATAAAAATTCCAAGTGGGAGAAGAATGTGGCCATAAAAAAAAAGTATACTGTACATATTTGCATAACATATGGGATTTCAATAATGCTTTTCCTTCTTCTTCACT